AATAATGGACAGAAGTGGCTGGACATGAGCTGTCTCTGGGCTTGGAAGATAAGACTCATAGTTCAATTACAGTGGTACCTCGGGTTACAGACACCTCGGGTTACAGACACCTCGGGTTACAGACTCCGCTAACCTGGAAGTAGCCCCTCAGATTAAGAACTTTACCTCAGGATGAGAACAGCAATCGTGTGGTGGCGGCACGGTGGCAGCGGGAGTCCCCATTAGCTAAAGTGGTACCTCAAGTTAAGAACAGTTTCAGGTTAAGAACGGACCTCCAGAACGAATTAAGTTCTTAACCAGAGGTACCACTGTACAAAGATACTGGTTCAGCGTAATGAAGAGTTGTCAGATATTTTATCATTACAGTGTTTATGTTTTCATGAGAAATTGTATGTAAGCATTTAGTCACTCAGCTTCTGTTCTAACGAGTTGAATCACTAGTTCCACAAATAATAATTCATACAACTCCCCCCTCTTTCCTTACAGCTATAAGCTTAAAGTTCCCTAAGGGGAGGAACTCATCGTTTTGAACTGTTATCAGAGGGAGTCTCTAACAGGCACACCTGCTTGACTGGAAAGCACAAAGAAGTGGGAAAACATTTTGGGCTGAGGAAACAATCATGGGAGACATAACAAGCTGACAAAATATGCCTTTGCACTCATGGGGGGGGGTATCTCAATGAAGTATTTTCACTAGTGCAAGTACTTGTGGCTGTGGAATTGAACTTCTATTCTCTCTTCTTGCACACCCTCTAAATCTGTTCTGGGTTTTCTCCCCAACCCTCCATAGATTTGGAGAAAGCATGGGGGCACACAGGAAGATGAGGGGAAATTCCATTGTGCAACAATTAAGGCAAGAGTGGACTGCACTCAGTTAAAGTATATTTTAAAAATGGCTACTATGCCTATTGAGCACTTTCCTGTGCTGTGCTATATGGAACTGGGCGATAACTCAGTGTGTTCTTACCAGTGCTTGGTCAGCTTCAGAGCGAGCCCTGCGCCACCGGTGCTCATCTTCATCCAGCCTGTTTCATAGTCCAGAGCTCCTCAGAGTACCAAGGAGGTGCTTGAGCTCCAAAACGCCAGAGAGGATGCTCAGGAGCAATAATTGTCAGGTTTGCATTTCTTAGTAGAGAAAGTATTGATCTGATGTGTAGACATCGTTCCTATTCTACTTAATTCAAGAGGGTTCTGGAAGCTTCTCTGTGTGAAAGAAACAAGCAGGTTTGTGATGTTTGGGTTATTCATTCAGAGAAGCTGAGTACAACTGGCTTAAACTGGTTCTGTTATCTCTTCTGTCAAGGTCAGGCCGACTATAATAATAGGCCAGAAGGAGCCTGGGTTTCACTTTCTCTTTCTACTCTATTCCTTCTGGTATGGTATTCTGTACATAGTGGGATGTGGGTGGCATTGTGGACTAAACCAGAGCCTCTTGGGCTTGCCGATTGCAAGGTCGGCAGTTCGATTCCCCACGACGGGGTGAGCTCCCGTTGCTCTTTCCCAGCTCCTGCCAACCTAGCAATTCGAAAGCACGCCAGTGCAAGTAGATAAATAGATACCACTGTGATGAGAAGGTTAAAAGGCATTTTCATGCGCTCGGGTTTCTGTCACCGTGTTCTGTTGCACCAGAAGCGGTTTAGTCATGCTGACCACATGACCCAGAAAGACAAACGCTGGCTCCTTCGGCCTGAAAGTGAAATGAGCACCACCACCCCAGTCACCTTTGACTGGACTTAACGATCCAGGGGTTATTTGCCTTTACCTTTGTAGATAGAATGCTTAGTGTTAAGGTTTTAGACTTATTGAAAGTTCAGTCTGCTGCAACTGGATTTATTATGGACAGTGTCAATCCTGAATGTAATGGATTTGTGATCATTATGCTCATTTGCCTTCAGTAGCAGTAAAGCTCAGCTGGACGAAATACAATTGCCTCTGGTATATTTTTGGGGAATATTGCAACGTGCTTAAGTTTTTACTCCACTAACTATACATTGGAATCTGCTCCAGATCAATATTGAGTAGAATTCCATGACAATAATATCAATCACTTGTTTCATCTTGCCATTCCATAGCGAGACCAGGGCTTCAATAGCATTTTATGTTGGATCTTTTGCTTCTGGGATAGTGGGTGTTTTAATTCAGCCATGGATTTTAGTTAATAGGGGCTTTTTATTTTGCAAGCATTTAAATGAACTCACAGGATTTAAAGGAACAGTAGGCCATCTTATTTGTATCTTCTCAACAAGAGCAATTTGCTCTCTATACTCAATTTGAAAGACAATTAGAACTTTGTACTTGCTTACAAATTCATTATTCCACATCCTTCCTCAATGCTCTAACAAGCAAACGTGTGAGGAACTGCACAATGAGTGTGATCTCACTTAAGAATGTGCAAAGCAGTACCTTATTCCATAACCTTCCAATGTCACTGCATGCCACAGCATCACATCTGCTTTTTCTAATGACTTTAATAAAGCCATTAATTAAAGCAGAAAACTAGTCAGGTTGGTATTTGCATGCAATTTGCAGACTGAAATGAAAACCCCACTTCCTGTAATATAATCTGAAGATCACTAGCCAATCAAAATAAAAGTACGTACTCCCAAATAACAGAACTGTGTTCCATCTAGAAACATTATAGTGCATTATTCTGGCCCCATATGCACTATAAATTGATATCAGTATCATGCCACTTTAAACAGTGAATTCTGAGAACCGTACTTTGTTAAGGGTTTTTAAAGCTTGTTGGAGACCCCCTATTCCCCTCACAGGGCTACAATTCCCATTTCCCCAGGAATAAAGGTAAAGGTACCCCTGCCCGTATGGGCCAGTCGTGACCGACTCTAGGGTTGTGCACTCATCTCACTCAAGAGGCCGGGAGCCGTCGCCGTCTGAGGACACTTCCGGGTCACGTGGCCAGCGTGACGAAGCTGCACTGGTGAGCCAGCGCCCGTGCCACACACGGAAACGCTGTTTACCTTCCCGCTATAAAGCGGTACCTATTTATCTACTTGCACTTAGGGGTGCTTTCGAACTGCTAGGTAGGCAGGAGCTGGGACCGAACGACGGGAGCTCACCCCGCCGCGGGGATTCGAACCGGCGACCTTACGATCAGCAAGTCCTAGGCACTGAGGTTTTACCCACAGCGCCACCCGCATCCCCAGGAATACGGATTGTTAAACATCAGGCAGGTGCCTTCTCTATACTCTCTTTGGCACCTGCTTAAAACGTTTTTGTTTAGGGAATCCTGGATGTTGACATGTTTTAATCTCTTTAGTCTAGTGTTAACTTTAATTATCTTTTAATTACAGTACTTGTTTTTACCTTTTTTAAATTGATAATTTTAATATTTCTTGTAAACGGCTTGGGGGCTTTATTGCCATCAAGTGGTATATAGACTTTGTTAAATAATGATTTTTATTTTTGCTGTAATGATGCAGGGGGGAAAGGTGCTAAATTAGATTAAGGATTTAATGTAAATCTGGGCTTGCCCTTTACCATGGAAGGTTCCCATTCCCCAACTCATATTGCTCCTGTGCATGTAACCTTCTACAGACACATAGGGTCATCTATCTCAGGAACAGGGTAAGTAGCAAGGGCACAGCCTTGCGCCCCATTCTACATGTGCAAGGAACTAATGTCACTTGAGAGTAGAAGATAATGCTCACTTAATGAAGACATGATGATACTACCCATTGAGATTTTGTTATCTAACATTACCATATGCTACTTTTATTTATAGATCACCCTGCATTCTCTGCATGGCTCACAAGTAAAACAATTAAAAATTTCATCAGCTCAAAGATATTTAAATCAGATTTTGAGAAATATACTGCAAAATCAAACAGTGTTACATATGTCAGACTTCAGTCACAGCCAGGCTTCAACCTTATTTACTTAGAACATCCATGCATACATTTCAACAGGACACGTGGAAGAAAGGATACTGCTGGCTTGCATCTATTAGTGGCATATTTGAAAGAGATGTATATTTATCCAGTTTCTTATCTGCATTTTAGAAGTATATTCATATATTCTAAAACATTACAGCTCTACAGTACAATCCTCTATATGTCTATTAGCAAGTAAGTCCCACTTGTGTTCAATAAATCAGTCCTAATAGTCCATATTAAAAAGCTGTATCAAGATGCCAAATGTAGCAAAAGATCAGCAATGGCAGCCCAGTTTTCAGCTTTCATTTGGGTGAATGGAAAGCTGTTATTTCAAAATTTGTTTTGAGATTGCAATAAAAAATTGTGTTTTACATTTGCATCTGAGAAACCAGCTACCCTTGTTATCTGATCCAAATCAGCATCTTCTTACATTGAAGAAAATATCCGATGGTCATAAACATGATCAGGAAAACTTACAAGCATCTGGACTACATGTTAGTGGTACAAAGAACAGTAACAGGCACAGCAATGAGTTGTGGTAGGAGGGGAGAAATCACCCAAAACTAGGCTGAGTTCTTGCCAAGTCCTGCCCCCCATCTCCTACACCCAATCCCAAATTGTTCAGAAGGGTTCCTCCCGGATTGTCTGGTTATACTTTTTGGGAAGAGGTGATTACAGGGGAGGTAAGGGACAGGAAACTCTCAATCTGCAAATTTCCGTAACTTAATGATGCCAATTACCTTCAGTTTTATTCACATGCCAAGATAGAAATCCTACCAAATTAACTTGAAAAGAAATGGCAATGTTTGCTTGAGCTTCCAGCTTCATTACAGCTAGAATTACTACTATATATAAGCATCTATTTTATAATAGCCTTTTCTTGGTGAACAGTGCCTGTTTTCCATTTTTTTAAAGAAAGAGAAAATAAGGATGAAACAGCATGATGTGCTGCAATTAGATGTGAACAGAATGTGCTGCAGCATAATGAAAACTCTGTGATGACTAATGGCACCTAGGTTATTTGGAATATGAAAGGCATTCAAGTTTGGCAAACGGCATGAAGCTTCAATTTGGAGGACGAGGTGATTAAGAATGAGCACAAAGACCTGCAATAAAACACTTTTACTGAACAGTTTTAAATTCCAGTTCAGCTGTAGAAATTTTTTAATGAAACGTTTACAGCACTATTTACATGTATTCAAGTGTCACAGTACTAGGAATCAAATCTCTCTAAATAACTTGTACACAATACAGTTATAAAACTGAAGCAGAGTTCTATCATATTTTATTATTTTATTTACAAAAAAGACAATACAGTCAAAGTATCACTTGCTCCTTTTTAACTTTTGAAATTCTCATCAGGCCACTGCTAGCATCTTCTGTGAAATTTAAACCTAATTCTTGGAAGGCAGGAATATAAACATTAACAATTAAATCATTTAAACAAGCTAACAAGTTCCACAGATGTAGGCTCAGCCAACACTGCTCATTATATCAGTACCCACAACTAATAGAAGACTAAACAGCTGCTACTATAAATGAAAGTGTTATTCCATTGATCTATTAAGCAGCTAACACACTACTGCTGCCATTCTTCTTCAGAAAAAGCAGGTTAGCCACACTTGCTCCTAATCTGCCAAAAGCAATGTGAAAAATCATGAAAGAAATATAAATCAAAATATAAAACCAAAAAAGGTACAAGAGAATATTGAGAACAATATTTGCATTTCAGTGATTTAGAAAAGATGAGAATAAAAAAAGATTTTTTTTTTAAAAAAACCAACAACATTCATGACCAGAATTTCCAAAGGATGTCTGGCTTTCCATTAGTATTCTCCTTTCTCAGGTGTCTGCATTTTCAACCTCTAGGACACTGGGAAACACTTCTTTTTAACCAGACAACTCCAGCAGTGATTCAACATACTTCAAACTCAAGTGTCAATATTATTAGTAATATCAATAATAATTATTCAGCCAATGTTGTGAAGAGATGCAAAACTTGATTCAACTACAGATAATCGTTGCTCCAATGCCTTCAAAATCGTTTCTGCCTGTTAAGTAAGGGGGGGGCGGGGCGAGAAACATTTTAGTTTACATTAAATGTTAATTAAAAGTTGTGTCCCAAATTCATGGGCCCACAAATGAATTACAAGCCAGTATACCTGACACTCATCCTGCCTCCTCAATATGTCATCGAGTAGGATCACAGAAGACAGGAATGGATGTCACCTTCCCCCATATGGTAGAGATCATAGAATCGTAGAGGTGGAACGGACTGCAAGAGTCACCTAGTCCAACCCTTTGCAATGCAGGAATCCTGCCCACAGCCACCCCTGGGTGGACTTGAACCACCAACCTTCTGGTTGACTGGCATGATCAGAGGGTGACAGCATGCTCTGTCTGTTTGGGGCTGCATTTGCACATTGATCTCCAGCCAGAACTACATGGGGAACTCAGCAGCTGCATGCATATTTCAAGATAACTGCACCCCCAGTTGCAAATAGCCATTATTTTCTCATATAGGAGTACAGAAAGAATCTCATGTCTCTTTTCTCCCCCGTTTCCCTTAACAAGTTCTACTGACATGATTACTGTGTTTCTTAAGAAGAGGGAACCAACATCAAACCATCTTTCACATCTGAAAAAAGTAAAACATAAAACATAAAATAACCATCTTACCCTTCCTAGTGACTCTTCTAAACTAGCTCGACTTTCAAGCGTTAGAGGCTCTTCATCAATTTCAGCTTTTTGTTCCGAGGACCCTAGGGTATAACTTGGACATTGTACAGTTATAAGTAACATCACAATCACCCAATAAAAGTGTGAGCGTTTATTAACTGAAGAATAATTTACCAGTGACAGCAGTCATGACTGTAATACTCAGTAAAGTGGTACCTCTGGTTACGTACTTAATTCGTTCTGGAGGTCCATTCTTAACCTGAAACTGTTCTTAACCTGAAGCACCACTTTAATTAATGGGGCCTCCCGCTGCTGCTGCTGCACAATTTCTGTTCTCATCCCGAAGCAAAGTTCTTAACCCGAGGTACTATTTCTGGGTTAGCGGAGTCTGTAACCTGAAGCGTATGTAACCCGAAGTACCACTGTAATTAAAATGCACACATTATTTACAGACTGGTTGGCCCCTTCCCACTATTTTGTTTTAAGTAATGAGAGCCTGCATTATAAGTAGAGCCTGCCAGGTTACCTGGGTGAAGGTCCACCTGAGAATGTAGGGCTATGTACGTAAGGCAGGTGATGAAATTCCAGGTAGATGTATGACAAGTGATGATCTGCAGCAACATGTTCTGGTGCATCCCCAATCCCTAACAGGAATGTTCAGCCTCAAGGTCAGGCCAGCTCAGAACAGACGTCTTACAGAATGTATGAGGGGCAGGTTTCAGGAGGGGGATGAAGAGTGAAATGACATCTTTCTCTACCTTATGCAACTCTATGGCCCTGGACAGGCCCCAAGATTGGCCTCAGAGCCTATGCTCCCTGATTACGGACCATCAGATTAGTAGGTACCAGGAGCAGGGCATTTTTAGTGGTACCCCTGTATTTTTGAACACCTCTCCTCACATGGCACTTTCATAGGTGATTTTAGATAGGATATTAAGAACATTTCTGTTCTCCTTGATATTTCCTTGATAGTTTTATCCTAGATTCATGTTTTAATCCTTACTTTACTGGTGTAATTTGTTAATACTGGTATTTGGTGTAAAGTTAACTCACAACTTGAGTGCACATTTAACTTGCATGATTGCAGCTTTATGCGCTTGGCGGATGGCCAGTGGCAATCACACTAAACGCTCGCAAGGCAGAAAGCTTAAAAATTATTTCCAGGCTCTGGTCTGGGAGGCTCTCACAAGATCTTGGATGTCCCTATGAGATATTGCAAGAGCCTCCAGAGCCCACACAACAGCCTGCCAGAACCCAGTAACCATGTGGGGGGAATGGCCCATTTGGCGCACCAGCTTCTGGAAAGGTAGGGACGCTTGTGTGGGATATTCCAGGGTCGCTCTGACTAGCTGTCATTTTGCCTTTACATACAATCCATGAAATGTAACCCCCACACACCTTGCAAGTCATCTATATTTATTTTATTGACTTTTCTTAGCTGCCTTAGGAAGATTTCAGCCTAAAGATATTACCCTAAAGATATCAATGTATTAAATAATTAAATTAAAAAGGATAGCAATTAGAACTTTACAAGTGCAATGCCTAAAATTAATACCAATTGAACAAAATGGTCAGTTCTTGAAAAACACCAAAATAACTTAATGATCCACTGCAATACTTATTACTGTGCTCCCATGCTTTGCTTGTATTAATTTGTATAATACTTGAATTTTGAACAATGCAGATTATTTATTTATAAATTTATAATCTGCACTTTTATTAAAAAATAGTGGAACACAATATACCAAAAATAGTAACAAAGAGATCAATGAAAACATCAATAAATACTGATGGATTTAAAAAGAAAATGCCTGTTGTGAAGACAAGCCTAAATGAAAAAAGTTTTCAAAATACATCTGAAGGAAGGGATGAGAATTACAGTTAGATCACAATCCTCTATCTGTAGTTACCCAAGCACGACTTCAAGGATAGTTTTTCAATGGTTGCTAAGGAAAGTATGGTAATTGGATATGTTTCAGAGAACACAATGCACACTATTATCTCTGTGTTAGAAAATGCTACTTGCAAGCAATTGTCAATGAATTCTCATCTCTGGAAATGATGGGTATTTATTGCACAGAATAATGGTTAAACTTAATCCTTAAAGGATTGAGGGGTGGTGTGGTAGTGGGGAAATAGAGGAAGAAATTGATGTTTTCCTCATTGTTACCTAGCTGAATGCAAACAAACAAGGCCAGTTTTGATTAATTTTTTCCTTCCATGGAGGAACAAAAAAATATTTGTGCTACTGTTCCTCCCCTCCCCGCAAAAAACTTTACGCACATCAGAAATAACCTGGAGTATTGAGGAAGTTGTCCCGTTTTAAGAGTATTTAAATAATCAATTATCATCAGAAGAAAGGCAAACAGAACTATTGCTTTGCTTACCTTTCAAGAGCGTCAACATTTAAGCAAAATAAATCTCGTTTATAATCCAGATGTCTCGGAGTGCATCTGTAAATGCTTCCAAGGGTCATGTTGCACCCAGTGCAAAACAAGGTTTCAAGCATGCTGTAAAGCAAAGCATCACTTAGAAAATATGTAACATCATTTTAACATGTTCATGTTGTAATTCGGAACACAGCAATGTACCACTTCCAGCACAAATTAAACAAATGGCATAAAACAATTAGCAGAAAGTTGTTTTTTACATATATTTTAAATAAAAAGGATTTATCCTGTCCTCCTTCTGAGGAGCTTCTAGCAGCATACCTGGATTTCCTGCCCACTCCTAGTTATCGTCACTAAACATCAGGAAGAACTTTCTGACGGTAAGAGCTGTTCAACGGTGGAACGGTCTCCCTTAAGAGGTTGAAGACTCTCCTTCATTGGAGGTTTTAAAGCAGAAGTTGGATGGCCAACTGTCATGGATGCTTTAGTTGAGATTCCTACATTGCAGGGGGTTGGACTAGATGACCCTCAGGGTCCCTTTCCAACTCTACAATTCTATGATTCACAACACTCCTCTAGGTTGGTCTGTGTCTTAATGCCTGGCTCCAAAACCACCAACTGGTATTCACAGCCAAGTAGGGATTTTGTGGCAATGCAGTCAAGATATGAATTTATTCTGAAAGTTATTCAGACAGAATTATTTTATATACTTTGTTGTATTAATCTAGTTTGAAAAACCTATTACCATTGCAATCTTTTTTTCCGGTTCTCCCCTTTGCTCTTCAACTTAGATAATAAATCAAAGACAGCCTAGAGTGTGACTGTGAGTGGGTGATCTTCCATTACAGGGAAGGCCAAGAGATGACCACAGGTGTCAGAAGCAGCTGTGCATGTGAAGGCCACTTCACGATAAGAAGACACAACAACCAAGCAAGTCTGGGAAAGGCAGTCAGGCAAAATGTAACACTATGTGATGCTTTGTAATACAACGCCAGGCACCCTGGAGACAGCCAGCTTGGGGCCTACTTGAGAGAGAAGAGATAAGGCAGAAGCTGAACTGTCTTGGTTTGTACAGGGGGCCCTTGTTTATGGTCTCCAGAGGGATAAACAAGGCATCCATGTTAAACAGGACAGCCAAAGGTGCCAGAAGGATCAACCTGAAGCGGGTTGGAAACCCACTCCTATTAGAACCTTCTTGTGCTTCTTGGGTGCTACCCAGCAGAGTCCCCAGCCATGGTCTGATCACCCAGACCTTCGTGCTTTTGATAATATCTTATTCCACCACATTCAAGTCCTTGCTGGGTACTCCAACCACTGCATTACATTTCAAGAATCAGTCCTTCCGAAGCACTGATTATGATTCAATGAAAAGGCCTGTAGACAACACATTCTTTATTTATGAATAAGTGTTAGAGGCAAGTTGTGTATATTTATCTGACTGCAAGCAATATTTAAAAAATGGTTTTCCCAGGACTTTTTTAAAGGACTTGGTCAAAAAGGTGCAAATTCCCATGTACTCCATTCATGCAAGTGCGCAAAAAACAAAACTATTCAGAGTGATGATTAGCAGATGTGAACCAAACTCTTAAACCAGTTTTAGTCTTAGTCAATAAGCACAAACAATGTAGCTTGAATGTTCAAACAGATTCAAAACTGTGTGGAAATTAATTTTCTTGGAAGAATTGTAAATATTTTAAGAAGCGACAACTCAGTAGCAAGCACTGAAGATCATTAACCTATGTATTTTTATTATGTATGCACACACTTCCCAAGGAATGTCTCCTAAAAAATCCTGAAAACACTAACATAACATATACATCCCACACTTCCTCAAAGATTCAGTATGAGTAACAGGCTTAAAACAGATGGCTTCAAAAAAACAAGGAAAAAAAACAACCCCTGCTCTAAAGTGGCTTCCTATTCCCCTTCCTAATAAAAATGAGTCCAAACATATTGTCTATTAGCCCATATGGATACTTTTAGGGCAAACCTTTCTTTTGACTTTCTTCTTTAGCATAAAGCTCTATTGTGAGACACATCTGTTTCACTTTGGGATTTTCACCGCTTACCAGCCATATTCGCCTGCTCGGCTTGAAAGTTTTTGTTCCTTGTCCACTGAAACATTGAGCGTAACATCTGAAAATCAAAAGATGTAAGATCAGTAGAAAAGCAGTCTCCCATAAGTACTCCCAGCCCAATTATGCTATTTATCGCCAACACAGAATGCGAAACACTGAAGTGGGTTGGCAAAAACCTCTGTCCCATCTAAGGGGCACAATAATGCCCACATGCTTTGGTCAACCGGGTGGCAAGGAGTAAGTTTAATGCATATTCCAAAACACTTTGGAAATTAAAAAGAGGCATACACGTCACTAGCACTAGAACTGAGTCCCATGAATTATCTTTGGCTGCAAGTTTAAGCACATTTACCTGGGCGAAAACCCCACTGAAAATAACTGGACACACACACAAATATAGGATTGCAACGTTAGCACTGCAGAATCTTTCCCCCGTTCTCTCTTTTCAAGTGTTTTGCTGTTCCTTCTGCAGCTTCACCATATTCACGTTCTTTTATTGCAATGCCTTTGCTTTAATTCCCTCTTAAGTCGCCCAGATAATTTCAAGTGAAGGCGCAGCCTAAAACCGCCTCAAGAAGGGAGACTTGGGTCCTACGACCTACGTAAAGCACACAAGAAGGGCACGAACAAAGCCAAGAGAGAAGCCACTGAATGCTGGTTTATGGGGGGGGGGGGAGACGAGCGCGCGAATATTTGCACGCGCGAGGGAAAGCCGCGGTGCGGGCGGGCGCAGAGCGTTTCCCAGGTGATTAGCCGCGCGGGCGGGCGCCTCGTCGCTCACTCTTCAGCAAGATGCAGTTGGTGTCCTCGTCGTTGAACTCCCAGCCGAGCGTGTCTCCTACGGGCCGCTTGCAGCCAGCGCACAGGAACACCATGGGCAGCTCCTCGGACCCCGCTTCCTCTCCGGGCCCCGGGCTGCCAGGGGACGCCTCCGTCAACGGGAGAGAGCTGTCTTCCCCCGGGTGCGCCGCCATTCTCTTTCAAAGCCGCCCGCGCCGCGCCCCCTCCCCTCCGCCGGAAATAACAGATGCAACGCGGTGCCGCTCTAGCGCGCAAACCGAGCCCTTCTCTTTTGCCTCTCCCAGGAGAAGGGGCGGAGTCGGCGGCGCTTGAGAGCGGGTGGGAGCATGCGCTGTGGCGCTGGGTGATTCAGCACCAGGGAAGGGCCTCGGTCGGGCAGGTTGCGGAGTTCACCATAGCAACGCGGGGGAAGCAGCCGCCTTGAGCGGTCTAAGGGTCGTTGCGAGGTTGCATGGTAGTGATTTCTGAGAGAAGTAGTTATGAAAGAATAAAAACTCCAAAATACAGATTCTGAAGATTATTATTTTTTTAAAAAAAGGGGGGCCGCGTGATTCTTACAATCTTTTCGACAGACACGATTCTTAGTACCACCAACCAACCTCGAGAGATGCAGCTGCTAATGAGAACAGCAAGAATATGCACACTGTGCAGGTTTTGCTCAAAAACCTGCCTGAGGTGGCAGTAGGAAGCACATCACACGTAGCAGTGGCATCATTGCGCCTGCAAAACAACTGACTCCAGTGTGGTGGAAAAGACTTCTTTGAGGAGTCTCCACGTGCCACCCATTTCCCACATTCGTGTTCGTTTCGTGGTCAGTTGTGGGAAAGGGGGGGGTGCATTGGAGAGGATTGAAAGGTGGAGTTGTTCATTTCCTGCAGTGATCACTCTGTTGAAACGGGGAGTAAGTGGGCAGTGCTGTAGGTGAAAAATGGGGTGTCAGCTGTTGCTAACGCCATTTGCTTTATTTTAGTGGGCCAGGTGTCATGTTTGTTTATCTTGGTAATGTGTTGGTTGTCCTCCCTGCATTTAGCTTTGTTTGTTTTATGACAGGGTTCTTATTTATTTAACTTTTTAATTAGTCCTTAATTTTTGCATATTGCCATTTTCCCTGCTGTGGGGTCGAAATATTAAATGAAGAACAGGTTATGAATAAAATGATGATGATGATAGCCTGTCACCTGCTGGCATGGTTTTCTTTACCAACTTGACTATGTGTCTTTTCTTATTACTTAGTTCTGTATTAGTGAAAACATAAAAGAGTTAACGACATCTTGTACTTCCCGCAAGGAATGTTCACATTTGTCAATCTGGCACCAGAGACCATCGCCATACACTGACCTTCATTTCTGCTGATTGGGTCTGGTATCTTGGCATTCCTCAAGGATGTCTGCTCAAATGAAAAACTGCACAACTACAGAATCTCTTTATAGGAACACTTAAGTACAACTCATCATAATTGTTGGTTGGGGTTAGAGCTGGCTAGGAGGTTGTACTGAGATGGCTAACAAGACAAATTCATCCAGTTTTACTTACGATTTTGAATATTACATGGATTATTTAGATCTACTTCCAGTTGATGCAAGAAAGCTGAAGGCAAACAGATGTAAGTACTGCATTATGTGACCAACTAAAGCAAAAACAACAAAAAAGAAAACATCCTTTGAAAAGTTTAATGTTTTTGTAAACACACTTTCTGCATGTAAATTGCTTATTTAGATTGGGGTTTCTGACTACTGCATAGTAATTTGTTGACTACCAAATTCAGTACCAGTCTTGTGCAGGTTGACTACTAAGACAGTCCACCTACTTCATTGAAACTCTTTTCCAAGTATGTATTACATTAAAATTGGATGGAATGTATATTTTTGTTTTCAAATGACTTAACTGCTGGAATACATTAATATGTTTTGAACATTGTAGTAAATGACAGCTTCCCTCTTACTGTTACATTAAAACAGAGAATATAAGTCATGCACTTCAAATGCTATACTAATGAAAGCAATGTTTTGCTATTAATTTTTTTAGTATTTGGAGTTTCAGGAGGGTGTCCTCACTTAAAGCACTACAGCTCCTATTCCTTGGGAAAGAAGCCTTCCTTGAGTGGACGTAATATTGCTTAGTAATCTATAATAAATCTATAATAAATGCCTTAAGGATTTGTAAGGTGTTATAAATACTGTATTTCTTTCCACAGATTCAATTGTCATAGCCCTTTGGATTGGGCTTGCTTCTTTTGTGGCATTTCTTTTCCTTATTTTGTTCTATATATCTCGGACTGGTTCTACACCCGTGAAGTAAGTACAATGCTTTGTGTTCTGTAGATGAAAGGAAATGTAAGGTCGTATGCCCTTATGAAAGGCAGGACTTGGATGCAAAGCAAGCATCCTAGATTTATATCCTTAAGCATCTAATTAATGAACACCTGGGCTATGTTGCTTCTAAAATTCTAAAATACTGTATCATACATTCCCTGCTTCCATTAGGCTCACAATGTCCTGGTTTGGATTACTACTGTGTCACTTCATTGCTGCTTGTATTATTTCTGAATCAGGGAACTGGGGCTAACAAACCAGAATCATGATGACTTATTAGCTGACATTAAATCTTAGTTCCCCAGATCAAAACAAAAAAATCCTTCCAGTAGCACCTTAAAGACCAACTAAGTTAGTTCTTGGTATGAGCTTTCGTGTGCATGCACACTTCTTCAGATACACGGTGTATCTGAAGAAGTGTGCATGCACACGAAAGCTCATACCAAGAACTAACTTAGTTGGTCTTTAAGGTGCTACTGGAAGGAATTTTTTTGTTTTGACTATGGCAGACCAACACGGCTACCTATCTGTAACTTCCCCAGATCAGATGTAATACAAGCCAGAAATCACTGTCTGAATTGAGTGCATGTCTTGCCTGCTATAACCCATCTCACACTATTTCTCTGAGGGGGTCCAAATAGGAATTGCATGTTAGTGTTCCCAAAAATATCTTCCTACTGGCCCTGATGTCTATGAAGCCCTAATTCTGCATGAGTCTTTTAAAGAAGTAAAGTGAATGTAGAAAATCGATGTAGGGTGATGGCTTGAATTTTTTCCTCTTGTCACCTATTCAGTTTGTTTTTGAGTCAACCAACCATTCTAGCTGTGAGTCAGGTGTTTTGCTTTTAGTAGGCGGGCATCTTAAAACATAATACATCAAAAGCCTTAAAAATCAGCTTTCAAAACTTCCGAAAAAAATAACAGTAAATATTTATTCAAAATCCAGCTTACAAGTACACTGTAACTTTCGTGATACGTAATTACAAATAAGTTATGAGTTCCAAAATAGTTCTCTTTCCGGCAGTCCCTCACCCCTGTCAAGATCTGAAAGCATGACACACACTTTACATTTAAGATTGAAAGACAGGGTGATGAATTAAGAATGGGTAAATGTCTTTGCAGAGAGAAGCTATAGCTTCATGTTCCCATGTTCTTTGATCATCATTCTTTTGTTTACCATTTGCTGTTCCATGTATCAGTTTAACATGGGTTATAAATGTGTCTGGTTGCTTTGCTCCCAGCCAAAGATCTCCAATGTAAACAGAAGTGAGGAATATGCTTGCCCCTAGGAAATAAGAAAATAATTGTCACAATCAAGATCTTTTCTTAAAAGTTGATCTATATCCTTCATTTACTCTGCTTATTTTAAATGGCAGAGTTTCCAATACATTTTTTAAAATGGAACATTTGATACTTCATTAAGGGAACATGGGTTATTGATGTTAAACAGCACTTTATCCCTGAGAATATCCCTTAGCATACTCAGGCTTATTTAATTTTTCAATCAATTTTAATGTCACCAGAATATCCTATTCTACATTACTAGTTAATCTCTTAGTATCTTCTGGAATTACCATATTATAGCAAAAGGCAAAATTTCAAGAAGTTTTATGGGGGAGAAAGATGATATGCTTAGTTTCCCCTCAACATCCTTGCTGAAAATAACATTACCTTTCTTCGTTCTTTCTTCCTCTGTTACTGCCGAGAGGCAGAACCTTTCCACAGTCTCATGAAAAGCGTTTTTGGTCAGGTTCTGGGAATCTAGTAGGTGCAGCATGATTCCATTAAGCAAAGAGAGATCATTCAGTTCCATGGCCTTCTCTTCACAGGCATTGTAGACAGTACTGTAAAGCTTAAATATACCACTTTTGAGAGTTGAATCTTTAAGAATCTCATCTACCAAAGTGCTGTTTTGCAAAGCACTCTTTTCAAACCACTTGAAAGTCAAAAGTACATTTTGTACGTTGAAGCTGCTGTCGAGAAGAGACTTCACTAGCCATCTGAATACTAAGTAAGCAATCTTACACGTAAGACCAGGATTGTCATCTCCATTGTGCTCTTTTGAATGCTTTGCTGGTATATTCAGGAATACAGGTTCCCAGTGGAAAAGCACAGATCTCAGGACAGATCTGCATTCTTCTAAATATTTCTCCCCCCGCTCAGATGCTGTTTCTCCCTCTGTTTCAATTTCATTCTTCTTCCGAACAAGTCGGGATGATGTTCGAAATGGTGCTTGTGTTTTCTTTTTGTCTTTAATGTTTTCTGTAGTAGAAGAGAACAAACAAAATACTTACAATAATTTAAAGAAAAATGAGAAAATTTGAACTTTCTGAAAAGTATTTGTTGGTCTTATTGTGAAAAATGTTTCTCAGTGGGTACTTGGATGTCTCCAAGTTGCAGTAAGCAGATGTCTTCACATTGGTACAGGAGAGGTTTCAAAAGGTGTAAACTGATTTTTTCACGTCTCTGCATAACCATCATCTTGCACCTGTCTTAACCTCTCCTGCACTGCTGCGAAGACATATTCACACCTAACGGAGAATGGTAATAAATTAATCAATTCAGAATTTATTTAAAAGCGAGACAGAAGGACAGATAGAACCTCTTGCTGAATTATGCTTATAAAGTTGGAAAGTAACAGGTTAAAAGTTCAACCAAATCCCAGCAAGATAAATAGCTCAGTTACAGGAAGCCAAGACCTGAACATTTATCTTGAGATTATCATCACTCCATAGATTTTGCATGAATGCTGCCAAAAATATTTTCTCTAAACAGACATTATTATATGCCCTCTCTTTTAAATCTACATTAAAAACAAACAAAGAAACAGTTTCCCGCTATCTTAAAAATGAGAACTCTTTCTTTTATTTACCCATCTCAGTGCTGTTTTATGTGGTAACTAAAATGGTTTCTGCTTCCACACAGGTCTCTGCTCCTTAATTATCCACCCCCACAAAGCCTCAGGAAAGGGGAAAGTGTTTGGGTAAGGCCTCGACTGTCCTAAGCAGATCTTGGCAAACTGACATGATGAAAGTCACTTACACTCAGAGCTTCATTTTATATAAAGAGCATATGGTGATGTTCTACCACTAGACAAAAAAAACATAGTGCAAGGGAGATATGAAATCCTTTTTCTTGGATCATGTCTGATGTTATTAATGAAGTACACATATATTTTAATGATTTCTACTCCCTTTTCAAACTTCCAGAGGAAACCTGCCTGGGGCCAATAATAATATATTTTTAGTGTGAGGTTAAGGGCTTCCTCTTCTTCCATGCATTTGATGAAATATGATGAGCTGGCTGTTGTGTTCAGTATTTTCAGAATTCAGCAGAAAATAGCTGACCTTATTTAAAACACATGATGTGTTTAGAACTTACTAAGCAATTCTTTCATTTGGTACTGTTGAGCAAATATCTGAAGAACATCTTGAAGTTCCACGTCTTTGCCAATTATGCTCCACTTGTGCAAGAGCAGCAGAACATCTTTGTTTGAAAGGACATGCTCATTCACAGTGAATCTTCCCATTTGTCTGAAGGCCTCAAAAACCACAACGCGGTATTCCAATACAGAACTCAACGTGCTGAAAAACTGAATCAATATGGCAGAATCCAAGTTGGTCCTATTTGGCAGGAGATGGAGAAAACAAAGGTTACAATGCTCAACCCAAATGGTAACTAAACTCAAAATTTGCTTTTGTTTGGAAACAAGTGACAGTTTATTTAATTTTTGTCTAATACAAAGTAAGAGTCTGAGGGAGATAAGATTGCAACAAAAAGACAGCAGTGAAACATGAAGGCTACTGATTTGAGATCATTTATTATCAGGTTGCATAATTTGCTCTGGCTTGCATGCAGTATTAAACTGTAGTTTAAAATAAAACTATGGTTTAGTGTGCATGAGCGCTTCTCTTCTCTTCCACTGTTACTATGCCCTGCAGGGGAGGATACAAGACAAAGCCTGGCTTGTCATGATGTGCAAACCTGGGAGGAAACAAACCTCAAGGCTGGGTACACAGTTCACATCAAGCCAGATTCTGGCTTGTTTCCTCTCCCATACCGTACAGTCAAGAGTGAGGTAGGAGCAACGTGCTTACAGGCATTAAACCATAGCTTATTTTAAATGATGCTTTAATGTTGCATATGAACCAAGCCATAGTAGGAATAACACTTCCAAACAACAATACATGTGCTAGTTGGGTTCAAATAGCCAATTCATTTTCACAGGTTTTGAATCTATTTCTTCCTTCCAAACATGCATACACTTTTCAGGCAGGGCTACTCAAGTGCTTGATATACATAGCTTTTAGTGTATGTCTTTCCTGAAAATGCTGGTACACTGTAAACAAAAATAAAAAGCTAAATTTGTTTTACTGGTGAATGCATTGTAGTGAACTCAAGTAGCAAAAATTACTCAGTATAAGGGTTAGGTCAAATGGAAAGCTGGTAAGTGAAAAGAGACAAAATCAGGCATAGCATCTTGTTGGGGTGAAAATGACTCTAAGGGTTAAGAACTGCCAAAATTCACTGAGAACTAAGGCTCTGAAGAATTGCAGTGGCTGAAAAATACCATATGCAATAGTTTTGAGAAGGCATAGAGTACTGAATGCTAAGCAGACTTCAGCAGTGCTTCTCCATGGCCCCCACTCACAGCCTTGATTACAATTTAGAAAGGTGAGAAAGATATTCTGGAAAATAAATAAAAGCACAATGTATTGAAGACAGGCTCCCACTGAGCAGAAATGATGAGTGGGCCACTTAGACATTAGCAAGTACCAACCAAGGCATTTCAGATCTCTGCAGATAAGCTATTTTTTTTTAAAAAAAAAAGATTGTTGCCATTTACAATGAAAAATAAAAGGTGGATTTTGAGATATTACAAAAACTCAAGGTTCAATGAAATTTAATTCCAGCTACATTATACAGTGGTACCTCTGGATGCGAGCGGGATCCGTTCCGGAGCCCCGTTCACAACATGAGCAGAACGCAACCTGCGTCTGCATGTGCCGCGATTTGCCGCATCTGCGCATGACGTAATTCTGAGGGTCTGCGCATGCGCGAGTGGCGAAACCCGGAAGTAACCCGTTCCGCTACTTCTGGGTTGCCGCAGGACGCAACCTGAAAAGATTTAACCCCAAGCGTCTTTTACCGGAGGTATGACTGTACTCTTGAAAACAGAAGGAAATACATACCGAATGTGTTTAAGAAGCATTAATAAAATGTGAAGAAATTCACTGACAAGCTGGAGAGGAAGGAATCTCTGATTCTCTAGTAGCTCCTTCGTATCAGGTGTTCCAAGTGACTTTTGCTTATCTCCTAAATTGGTTACCCAAAGAGTATGGACTAAAGAGATGACACTGCTTAGCATCTTGGATTCCAGAAACCTAGAGTGAATGAATGAAAAAAAATTAAAATAATAAAAAATGTTCCATGTTTATTTTATAGCAAACCAGATTACAATAGTGCACCAAAATAGCATTTAAAAAACAATATATCTCAACCATTATCCACCAGTCCCATGAGCTGGGTACACAAAATGTTACCTTTAATATTGCCTTTCACCTGAGGAAAAAAAATTAAATGGAAGGGAAAAATCCAATACTGAATCCAGAGTGTATGTTCCTGTTGATGTATTTATTTGAAAGAGTCACTGTAGGATTTAAACCTTGAGTAGACTTTGAACATGCATTTAGGAAATTCACATTTCCCACATCAAACACTACAGTGTGTGTGTGTGCGCTGAGAAATTGTGTGAAAACAGAAACTTAGTTCAACAGTTTTTCAGAGATGAATGCTGCAAGCCAAAAATAGGATCCCATTTCTTTTAATTCATACCAGTTTAATATGGGACCTAAGCTGAAGAGTACTGAAGTTGTTAAAAGCAAAGCACAGTAGCAGCAACCATGGGCAGAACAACCCAGTGTCATTTTCCCACTAACAGCATAACAATCCTCAGAACCTCTTCATTAATCCCTGGACTATTTGAGTTTCAAGAATAGGAGATTCAGCTTTTAAATAAAACATTGCTAAAGCCAGTTTTCTATTATTCAGTTACATTACATTTCAGAAACATATTTAGAGGCCAAGTTTTCTTCAACAAACAAGGACGACAGAGTATTAATAAAATGTTTTCTCCAAAGAAGCAATAGAACACTCTGTTAAATTCCAGTTAATGAACTCAAGTCTTTGGAGGCACATGGAGTACAGCTTCAGACTACACGGCAACAATAGTTAATAATCCTTAACTAAGTTGATAATTATATGTACAGGCTAACACTTTAACAGAATCAAAGTTTTTAAAGTATCTCTAAGTAAAAGGATTTAAAGGGCTTTAGCTGTTTTTACTGTGCAACTGTATGCACGTTTACTCAAAAGTCTGTTCACTGAAGCTGGCATCCTTGTAAATGTTCTTAGGATAGCTGCCTTAGTGGCATACCATGACCTCTACGAGCATATGCACATTTAGAAAGGTGAAAGAAAGAAATTATTTAGCAATCAATCATGAATACTTTTCTATGCACCTTCTATCTAGTACAGATATTATCCAAGTTAATAGGCTGTGATCTCTTATTAGCTGATAGGCAGCTTTGGTGATGTATGCAGCATTTTGAAGTATTTCCAGAATCTGATGCTGAAAGACAAAAAATAATAATTATTATTTAGTTACATAAGATGTCCTTAATAACTTTCACAGCTGCGATTTTAAGCCTTTGGGATGAAACAAGGGGAAAACAACTAGATCTAATTATCTGCAAACACAATAAAAGAGTTCTGTGGCATCTTTGAGACCAACAGTCTTTTGGAGTGAATACATCAAAGATGGCGTCACTCTGGAAATTATTTTCTCATGAGTGTGGGCAGAATCTACAGTATCCATCTGAACATTGTCTTCAATACCTCGCCTTAAAACGCATGCAAAATGGTACCATGACTCCTCCAGAATGCAGACAGACATTCTAAGGGTACTTGGTGACCTTTACCTTGCTTCCATGTGTTAATATAAAGAGTACCCCAATATTTTTGGTTCTAGTGTTTCCAACAATTTTACAATACTTCCCCCTCCCTTTTTAGCACACTCCTTGGTCTTAGGAGATAGCTTGCTATTTTCAAATTTTGTCTCAAGCTTTCTATTCATACATAATGACTAAGTTTAAGAAAACCTTACTAGCAAATATTGGGGTGAGGTGGAGGAGAGAAACAGTAATGAGAAATAAATTAACCTACAGGCAGTGACTGATTGATGCACAATCACGCATGCACACCAAACCCAGAAGTGACCTGAAAACATCACTAAAAGGTTGGAACGAGGGAGGAAATACTTTATGCAGGTCTCACAGACAAGCGTGGGAGTCTGGAATGTAACCCCTGCACAAAACAAGGATTGCTTGTATCTTCATAAATTATGAGTAATTCTATGCACATTCACTCAGAAGTCAGTATTGTGTCCAAGCTTATTCTCAAGTAAGCAAGCATGGATCGCAGCCTTAGAATATTATTACTACAGACTATGTTGAGCTCTAAAGATAGCCACAGATGTTACAATTCTTGACACATTAAAGACTTAACTGGATGTTTTACTTTTAATATATGACTGAATGAGAGTAGTTCTTAGATAAAAAGTCTTAAATGTTTTCTTTTTGCTTTAGGTTAAAAGCTTTTAGGAGTATCTGTATGTGTTTCAGTTGCATTTTACCTGGGAGGATTCATCACACAGTGGACTATGGAAGAAAGACAGAATGACATGGAAAATTCTCTGATAATCATATAGTTCATAGCAGTGTTTGTCTTTGAGGCCTTCCCCAATAATTGCAAGAATCCATTCACGCTCCATTTTGTGCTGGAAAATAAAGAGGGAGCATAAATTACTATTGTAACTTTTCCACTCTATTTCCACTCTAGGAATGTCTCCAACAGACTGGATAAAGATGAAAAAAGAAGGAAAAAAACCACATGATGCTGCAAACAGAGACACAAAAACCTAAATTCCAGTTTTGCCAGTATTTTGTGATGCTGCTAAATATAATACACATTTCTTACTTTAAACTGATTAAACAATTTTCATCATTTTTCTGCATTCAGAATGTGACTTCATATACAGTCACAAGAAGTCACATACTGAATGTAGGGAAAAAGATGCTCCACTTCTCTGTCTGTATCTTATCGCAAACACACAGATAACCAGCTTCACCATTTTTTCTTGTGAATGTAACATCCCAAGCCTGCCGTGGTTTGGTTTAGTTTTTATGTGTTTTGTTTGCTGTATTTTGTTATTGGGGTTATATGGATAAAATTTAATAAAAATACTTTTTTTAAAAAAAATGATGCAAATAGGGAATTTGGAATGTGTTTCAAAAATGTGGTGAATGGCAGAAGGAAAAAATAAAGAGGCCATGCATGAACATGAACCAAATTGCGTAACAGGAAGAGGCGGCTGCCACATGGACACTAATCTCAGTGTCTGAACAATGACTCTTTTACCATGCTCAGAGAAGATCCTGGGTGCTGCAACCAACTATAAAGACTATTTACATAGTGATTTGGTTGCAACAGACAGGAAAAGAAAAGAAAGATTCTCAGAATTACTTGACAGGTACCAGATTTTTGTGTACAGAGAACAGAAAGCAAACGTGCTATTCATGAATGACAGTTTACACCACACAGATTTCTATTACCTCTGAATCAAAACTGTAGAAAAGCTGAAAAAATCCAGGCACCTTCTTCAAATCCAAATACTGATGAGATAGAAGGAACTTGTTCAGCTTTGTGTACATGTGCTCCTCTGGGAAGAAAACAGAATGGTTATCGTAGCATGAAAAACACCCTTATCATTTCAAGAAATTTCTATGCTCATCTTAAAAACCTCTCATTTTACAGCATGACAATTCTGACAAACATTTCATGATCACAGGGATATCTAAAATGGAAGTAACAATTTGACTAAAAGCCATTGTTTTTCATTCTGAAACAAAACCAACTGAAATTTAAGAGAAACTAAGAAAGATTAGAGAGCAGGTGTAACTTGTTCGAGAATACTGTACCTGGCTTTAGCATTTGGTGGGCTACTCTTGAAACATACAGTGCCAAAGGGAAAGTAAATCTGAGATTTGGTTGTCTGATTCCATTCTGCACAACATCCATAAGGTAAGCCAACTGAAGCACAAGACAAAAAGAGAGAAATAATTAGGAAATTGGTTGTATGATCCTATCAGTGACTGCTTAATTGTACACACAGTCCTCCTATGACAACACAGTCTGATTTTCATCAGGAACTGCAGAAAGTATATGTTAATCATAGTATAGAAAATATACTCAATTGAATTAGAATACCTATCCTAATATTACTGAATGGAAGTGATGAAGAAATGATTACTAACACAAATGAATGAGAAATATTAAGTTCTGTATTTCATTCGTGGGTTGAGTCCTATACATAATTTGGAAATCTGAGAGGTGGGCAAGGAAGTTACATCAGAAGCATATTGACATCTTTGGCAGTTAGCAATACAGTTATCCTAGGAGATGCTTTCAGAGCAAGTTTAGTCTTAGGCATGTTTTCAAACCACTGCATACTTTAGGAAAGCTAAAGTTAACTCCTTACCTGCTTCTGTTCTCTAAACCGAGCCCCTTCCAGGTGAGAGCGGAAAGAGCTCAGGACATAGTATGCTGCCGCTCGCATGTTACTGTCATAGCTGCTAAGGGCTGCTACTGCCAGACCCAAGGCATTGACGTCAACAAACTTATGATATGCTACAACACATTCTACATAGGAAAAAAGGAAGGGGAAGGAATGTTTTAAAATGTAAAAAGGAAACTCTCAAAATCTTTTACAAGGTAATTTTTTAAAGGAAGACTAAATTATAGGTATGCACATTAAATCATAGCAATTTCTAGAAGAAGAGTGAATGAATGCCTGATTAGAAAATTGTCCTCTTCTATTCTTCTGCAACAAAGAATTCAAGATAGAATCTCTCTGAATTGCCTCTGCTTAAGCAAATAAAGACACAAGCCCTCTTGCACCTGAGTTTCTAAGGAGCCTTCCATTCTGGCACCACCCAAACCATCTCTCTTTGTAGCCCTCCTTCCCCTACACCAAGGTGCACATACAGGGTCAATTAAAAAAGATCTAATTACTCTTTACCATGCTTTTGTTTGTACCATGTGGTGTTTGATACAGCTTGGTCATAAGGATCTCTATTTCTGTCTCATCAGTGCACGTATATTTGTGGAGCAGTGATTCTACTTCAAGCTAGTGATTGAGAGTTTGGAACTAGAAGGCAGAGCAATTACAGCTGAATCTTTTCCCCATGAGCCACCCCTCTTCCCTTACTAAAAGAGAGATTCTGTCAACAAGGAATCTTGTTCCGTATTTTTGGGGCTAGCCCTAAATTTATGGAGTGAAGATTAATCTGGAAATAGGAGTATAGGTCATGGAAGGAAACATCAATGCTGGACCCGGCCTTGGCAAAATGAAACTTGACAGCAAGTTTAATTTATGTTGGACATACAGTTTTGTTTACAAAACCTTGGAAAAATCAAGGGGAAACGGCTGCTGAGATAATGATCGGTTCTAGAGGTGTCTTTTTTCCCTTTTGTATTTCATTTGGGGCTTTTACGCCCAGTGAGAAGCAATTATGGAACATTTATTCACAGGAGACTGTTATAAACACATGTAGGAAGCAAAAAACATAACAAAGACCCTTTCGGCCACCTGCTGTAATGGCCCAGCATGTTTGGGGTTGTTCCATAGAGCATGTTCAGAATGAACGGCTGTCAAAAGATTCCATGGAGACAGCAGGTTCTTAAAAGATTATTTGAAGGATAAAAGGAAGGATTGTGTGATGCAGTAAGTGGGAGAAAGCCTCAGGGAACTGAGGCAGCAAGAGAGGCAAAGAGGAAGCAAAGCAAGATCTGCAGCTTGGATGGTGTTAGTGAGAAAGACAAAAATGATACAGGAATCATAATGGGGGAAATATCTGGTTTTGACTGTAGTGGGGTGGACAGTCTTTAGCTGGATGCTCCCATGTCCTAAGCCAGGCATGGCCAAACTTGGCCCTCCAGCTGTTTTGGGACTACAACTCCCATCATCCCTAGCTAACAGGACCAGTGGTCAGGGATGATGGGAACTGTAGTCCCCAAACAGCTGGAGGGCCAAGTTTGGCCATGCCTGTGACCTAAGCAAATGCTTTCACACATTCACAGAATGCCTTGCTGCCACTGACCAGAAAAGATTTTCTTTCTGTGGTAACGCAAAGTCAGCAAGCTAAGAGAAGCTATGGCCATGAAGCCACAAGGAAAAGGAAACAAGAGTCGGTGGACAGGTGAGGTAACAAATCATCCACAAAAACAGAGAATCAAAGCAAGCAGTGCTTTTCAAAACAATATTGTTTCTGGTGGTGGGGAGAGGTTGCCATTCCAAAGATGAAAAACTGTCTTCTCCCACCCAAGACCAAGAAAAAGCTCTGCTTCACCCTATTTAAATCAACCTACTTACTCCCACTACCACATACCCTTCAATGCTGTACTCACTACACAGTCTCTTTTTCTTCTTTCAAATTTGATTTGGAAATCCTGCCTGCTTATTCAAAAAAACAACAAAACAAAAACAAAAAACCCGAAACACCTGTTCATGTGGCCTATCTGTGTGTAGATTCCCAGCCACTTGGATTTCCTTCAATGCCCCCCTCCACCCAGATTTCAGATAATCAATCCAGCAGCAACCAATATTCCTCATAGCACTGACAAATCTAATGATTCCAAACTCCTGCAAAACAACGTAACAAAATACAGGACAGGAGATGCTGTGGGGGGAAACACACACACCCCTTCAGTGAAAAATTTTGGTTGGGAAAATAGAGACGGGTAAGTGGCAGGTCCCAAGACAATGCATGCAAACCCAAAATGGTGACTGCCAAGTGCACCGGCGGCCCTTCCAAGCCTGCTCACAATGCAGAATCACAAAACTGTGTGTGCTGCAGTGTCAGATGATGTTCTTCCTCCATCTCAAAACCCCTTCTTCTTTTCTTTAAAAAGTATAATTAAAGCCTTTGGGGTCAATTTGATATCTGATGTCTGCTCTGAATGGAAGAGTAAATAGTTTAACGAGCAATTACATCATCAACTAGCCACCTGTTTCAGAAGATGGCATGACTCCTGGGCAAACGCAAACCAGATGCCATAATGCAAATGAGCTCCGGATTTTGAAGCATTTTATAAACAGATAAGACAGACATAAAAAGCGTACTATGTTAGCTCAGCAGATGTGCATAAAGAGCTTGCGTCCAATTACACAGGCCTCAGACTAAACCATGAACACAAAAAGCAAAGGAAACAGCACTGGAAACAGCAAAAAATATTCCAAAATCCACAACTGGCCAACATATTTGTTAGAATCAACCAAAATGTTGTGTGCTTTGGGTTCTGTCAAAACTTTTGATTGGGCTGGAAGTTATATAAAGCAAGGACAGGGGGAGGAAGAAAACTAACAAAATAACCAACAAAAAATGGTTCAGTGTAATAGCCTGCCTTGTCAATACAGTGGTACCTCAGGTTACATCCGCTTCAGGTTACATGCATTTCAGGTTACAGACTCCACTAACCCAGAAATAGTGCTTCAGGTTAAGAACTTTGCTTCAGGATGAGAACAGAAATCGTGCTCCAGCGGCACGGCGGCAGTGGGAGGCCCCATTAGCTAAAGTGGTGCTTCAGGTTAAGAACAGTTTCAGGTTAAGTACGGACCTCTGGAACAAATTTAGTACTTAACCTGAGGTACCACTGTATAAAAACTGCCAGCTCTTTTATTTGTGCTCTCTACCTTATTGTTTTGCTTAAGACTGCAGAAATATCTGGGTAACAGACTTTATATTCTCAAAAATGGAGATCAGCCACTGCCTTTTTAAAAAATCTCACAAGCTTAGCTGCAACCTCAGACCTGCATAGCAAATCTTTGATACAGTTTTCAAGCCATAACTTTTGGGGGTCTATGTTTACAGTTTCACACTAAATGCTTCCTAAAATACAAGAAAACCATTTCCTATACCTGGTCTCAACAATTCACTGAAGAGATGAAGGAGAAAACAGGGGTCATAGAGATCTTGAAGAGCCACTTCGCTTTTGCCTTTGCTTAGCAGCATCTGTTCTTCCTAAAAACAGGACATAAAATAAGGTATGACTGAATTTTAATTGACATGTTTTTTAGCTGCTGTGAAAGCCTTCTCATAACAGTCATCATATAAGCACTGCAGGGCATCCTAAAGCTGGCTGATAGCTGTGTTACTGCTTTGGGTTGTTTTTTTTACAGCTTTCCCTGACCTCAATGACTGCTG